GATTTAGCCCGGGAATGTAAGGTTGGTTTAATAATAAGTACACATTAAATAATACAATATACCATAGCAGCAGGAGAAAGGGCCAAATCCACACTGTCATCTCGGTGGTTATGAAAAAAGCATTTGACCGAATCCAACAACCAGTTCATGATAAAAACCTGGAATAGAAAGGAACTTCCTCACCTGGAAAAGAACATTAAAATCCTACAGCTAACACCATACTTACTGGTGAAAGACTGAATGCTTTTCCCCCTAATATCAAGAACAAAGCAAGCTCTTGCCGACTTCCATTTAACATGATGCTAGACATCATAGCCAGCTTAACAAGGGGGAAAAATTAAAAACATTCAGTTTGAAAGGAGAGAAGTTAAACTGTCTTTATTTGCATTGTTCTGTGTATGTAAAAATCCCAAGGGATTTGTATTTAGGACTAAGAAATGAATTGAGTGTTGTTGCAGAATACAAGATCAATCTACAAAAATCAGTTGCATTTGTATATTCTATCAGTGAATGGACCAAAAATGATATTACAGAAATAATTTTATTCATAGTAGCTTCGAGAAGAATAAAATACCTGGGAATAAATCCAACAAAAGAAGTGTAAGACTTATACAGTGAGAACTGCAATTTGCTGAGAGAAATTAAATAAAGTCTAAATAAACAGAGATGCTCCAGCTTCATGGTTTGGAAGATTGTTTTGTTTTTTGTTTTTCTGTGTGTGTGTGTGCGTGTGCGTGTGCGTGTGCATGTGTGTGTTTTGTTTTTTTTTGGTTTTTGGTTTAGTTGGTTTTTTGGGGGGGGGGTTTTTGGAGAGAGCGAGCATATGAGCTGGGAAGGAGCAGAGAGAGGGGGAGAGAGAATCCCAACATTGGGTTCGAGCTCATGAACTGTGAGGTCATGACCTGAGCTGAAATCAAGAGAAATCAAGAAATTTATTGAGCCACCTAGGTGCACCAAGACTCAGTATTTTTAAAATGACAGTATTCTCTAGGGTCACCTGGGTGGCTCAGTCAATTAAGCATCTGACTCTTGGCTTCGGCTCATGGTTTGTGAGTTCGAGCCCCAGATCGGGCTGTGTGCTGACAGCGCTGAGCCTGCTTGGGATCATCTCTCTTAGTGTCTCTCTGCCCCTACCCCGCTCACTCGTGCACGTGCTCGCTCACTCTCTCTAAATAAATAAAGAAAGAACTTTAAAAAATTGACAGTATTGAAAAAAAAGATGACAGTATTCTCTAAATTGATCTGTAGATCCAATATAATTGTAGTCAGAATTCTAGTAATTTTTTTTGCAGTAATTGATAAACTCATTGTCTGAAGTATATATGGAAGGGACCCAGAATAGTCCAAATTTGAAAAAGAATGAAGTTGGAGGACTTAAATACCTGATTTCAGAGCTTACTGCAAAGCTGTGCAATAAAGCCTGGATGCTGCTAGCATAAGGGCAAACAGTAGATTAACGGAACAGAATTGAGGGGCCGGAAACAAACCTTTAAATTTATATTCTGTTGACTTTTGACAAAGGTACCAAAGCAGTTCAGTAGCGAAAAGATACTCTTCACCACATGGTTCTGAGACAATTGGATATCCATATTCATGAAGATGAATTTAGATCCTTCCCAACACCATGCACAGAAATTAAGTAGAGGGGATCAAAGGCCTAAATGTAAGAAATAAAACTTCTAGAAAACAGGAGAAAATCTTTATGACTTTGGCGTAAGTTTGTAGATACAGGGCAAAGAGTTTGTAGATATAGCACCAAAAGCACAATTCATAGAAGAAAAGCAAATGATAAATTGGGATTTATCAAAAGCAAAATCTTCTGTACTTTGAGAGATGTTTTCAGAAAATGAAAAATCAAGCCACAGACTTGGAGAAAACATTTGCAAATCCTGTATCTGATAAAGAAGCATCTAGAGCATATGAATAACTCTTACAATTAAGTATTAAAAATATAAACAACCTCATTTTGTAAAAGGGCAAAAGATGTTAATGTGTATTATGCCAAAGAACATATAGAAATGACTAACGAGCACATGAAAAGGTGCTCAACATTTTTACTCATTAGAGAAATGCAAATTAAAACCATACTGTTTTGTACTCATTCAATGGCTATCATCAGAAAACCCCAAAATCACCAGTGCTCGCAAGGATGTGGAAAAACTGGAAATCTCATCCATTGCTGGTGGGAATGTGCAATCATACAGCCACTTTGGAAAACAGGGCGGCAGTGTCTTTATGAAGATTTTTAGATTTTTTTTTTTTTAAGTTTATTTCTTTATTTTGTAAGAGAGAGCAAGCCGGGTGGGGCAGAGAGGGAAGAGAGAGAATCCCAAGCAGGCCCCGCACTGTCTGGAGTCATCTTCCAGCCCAGGTTAACTTTGCTGCTGACATTGACTGGGACTTTCCGTGTATACACATGGGATTTCAGGAGAGTGACACTGAATGACCTGCCTGAAAGTGGCAGTGGAGAGTGAGGAAAAGCCTGTTGTAAGCCTTTGACCTCGAGATAAGGGGTCTTCTGGAAACGGAGGGTTTCAGCTTCTGAACTTTGAAAGGGAGGTAGTGTCCGTAGGTAAAATCAGGGTAGATAAGGTGCGACGTTGGGCAAGAAAAGGTTGAAAGTACACTGAAATGTCTTAGTAGTAGAAGAGAAAGGAGAGAAGACATTTACCTTTCTAAATAGAATCTGTTACAGGTGTCAAAGTGTGACTCTGCCCAACGTAGGACCCAGCCCTGCATCAGAGGCTCAGTGATAGAGTGATCAGATAGACTTAGAACTGTGAAAATAACGGAACCGTGATTATCCACGTAGACGTAGTTGTACTTAGGGACGGCAGCAATAAAGGAGGAATGGTATATATTTTTGAGAAGGGCAGAAAGAGGAGTAAATGCTCCCCTTTTGATTAGCAATGAGAAAGATATGTTTATCAGATTCACTGAGACCATGTAACACTTTTGTGCAGTAGTGTAGGGGGTGGGAAGAGTAGAGTCAATACTGAAATAGAGAGGTCTAATTTCCTCCCAGTTCTGTGATGTGTGAAAGCAACATTTCCTTAGAGTTAAAATGAGAAAAGAGTTGAATTCTAGGTGTTCTTAGTATCAACCAGAAGAAGGCTTGAAAATAGTCTTTTAGAAGGGCCAAACTGAATTTTTTAAGAGTCTTCTTGAGCTTAATGATGTATTTTATCACCAAAAAGTTACCTTTTACATTAAGATCTTTGTTCCAATGGCTTGAAATATTTGTTTTGATTGGTCTGGTTCTTCTATAATGTATCAAGTCTTTTATTCCTCACAGAAGTATTATCCTGAAAATTTATAGATGCTTTTTGAGTCCTCTATCCTGAGAAAATACCACTTAGGTCCTGCTTTATACATATATATGGTTGGTTATCTACTAGAACATAGTAAGTTTCAGTAAATTAAGTTCCGGCTAGTGAAGGCAGCCTGTGTTTGTGATATGTGGCATTGCTGATAACTGAAATAAAAGGGCCTGTTCTCTCTTGCCTCTCTAAATAGCATCAGAATTACAGCTCACTGGGGACGGCTGGCATCTTCCACTTTGTGGAAGGTTTTCTATCCTGTGACTGCCTTATGAGTCATTTCTACTTTAGGCAAAGAGACTTAACATTCTTTTCATCACACTTGCCTTTGTGACTCAACAAGCCTGACTTCTAGACGTATTTCAGACTTGTGCTACCCAATACGGCAGGCCCTTGCCACCTGTGGCTTTTAAGCACATAAAGTGTAGCTAGTTCAAATTGAGATGTGTTACAAGTATAAAATACACACCATTTTCAAAGACTTAGTATGAAGAAACACCAGTACTTTCTTGATACTGGTTTCATGTTAAAATGATAATATTTGTGGCTATATTGGGTTAAATGGAATATAATATTGAAAATAATTTAACCTATTTCTTCCTGATATTTTCAGTTGGACCCCTAGAAAGTTTTAAATTACATATTTGTTGTGTTTCTGTTGGACAGCATTGATTAAGTAATTCCAGTGAGTGTGTTTCAGTGATGATATTTGTAATGTCAATCAGTCGTTTGTATACAAATGTTTGTTGTTCTCCTTATAACAAAAAGAAATTTGGCATCTTGATTTTTTAAGGTCTCTCAACTAACAGTTTCCTAGAGCTTCATTTTTCATGCTTTTATGAGGTTCATAATATATTTGTATGTTACTGTTTCATGAATAAGAAAATATTTACCACAATAGGCTTTTGGAGAGCTGGTTTTTGTTACAGAATAACTACTTAGATTTTTCGGTGCAAAGAAAGCATCTAGACATAGGCTCTTAGTTATTTTCATACTATTTTCACATGTTATTATTGACACTTAGAAGAATATGTAACTTTTAGTTCTTCTTGCCTTCATTGTGTTGTTTTGATTTTTCTTTTTTTCTTTTAATTGTCTAATGTTCATTTATTTTTGAGAGAGAGAGAGAGACAGAACACAAGTTGGGGAGGGGCAGAGAGAGGGGGACACAGAATCCGAAGCAAGCTCCAAGCTTTGAGCTGTCAGCATAGAGCCCAATGCAGGGCTCGAACCCATGAACCACGAGATCATGACCTGAGCCGAAGTCAGTTGCTTAACCGACTGAGCTACCCAGGTGCCACAGTTTTTATTTTTCTATAGAGACAACTCTATACAAGTAGCTTTTTTGCTCATATGTTTCTTCCCCAGACCAGTTGTATTCCATAGTCAGAGCTGCTGTGATTCTTTATGTTCTGAATAAGAAATTGGACATGGAAATCTGTGTTCTCTCTTTCTTTCATGGCCGCTTTATTGCTCTTGCCTCTTAAACCGGGGTCCGTGGTTTTGGTTCTAAAGTGTTTGTTTTTGTGGTTAGTTTCCATAGAGACGCAAAACGAGGTTAATAAAGAAGGACACAGAGGTTCCTGGATGGGAGATTAGCTTGTTCGCAGTTGCGTCCAGAGCACCGTTCTTCCAGAAGCAGCCACCGAAGGGCGCTTTCTCCTCTGCTTCTCTCTGCAGGCACCACAGACAGCACCTCCAACAACACTGCCACCGTGATCTCCACCGCGCCGCCAGCTTCCTCCGCAGTCACGTCCCCCTCGCTGAGCCCCTCCCCGTCCGCCTCGGCCTCCGCCTCCGAGGCATCCGGCGCCAGCGAGACCAGCACAACGCAGACCACCTCCACTCTGTCCTCTCCTCTCGGCACCAGCCAGGTGATGGTGACGGCGTCAGGGTTGCAAACGGCGGCGGCCGCTGCCCTCCAAGGGGCCGCGCAGCTGCCGGCCAACGCCAGTCTCGCCGCCATGGCCGCCGCCGCGGGACTGAGCCCAGGCCTGATGGCGCCCTCGCAGTTCGCAGCTGGGTAAGGAGCCTTCGCACCTCGGTCACCCCCGAGAGACCGCTAGAAGTCAGTGCTCCCCGGAGTCGCTCGTAGGGGAGACCGTCTCCATCTGAAATGCATAAAGCAAGAGAAACCCTCTTTAGAGCCATCAGCTCTTTGGAATGGGAGGCTCTGGGGGGGTGCAAGGGCCTTCCTGCGGCCGGACTCCACTTTCTTAACGCTCGGGGAGGGCGGCCATCCTACCGTCATTTCCAGGTGAGGACGCGGAAACCAGGCCACTAGAGCTGATCTGCCCGAGCGGTGGGGCCCGGACGGAAGCCCACAATTCCTGGCTCACTCTTCTGCATTCTCCACCTAAGCTCTCTCAACAGTCTGCTTTCTGATTTTCAAACACGGACAAGATGCAGTCATAAGATCCCCAGTTTTTTATATTATCGAACAGGAAGGATTCCTTTTTCAATATGTGCCTTTCTCTGGCATCTTTTTGTTTTGTTTTGGGGGGGGGAAGAATGAGATAATTCATTTTTTTTTAATTTTTTTTAATGTGTATTTATTTTTGAGAGAGAGAGACAGACAGGACGCGAGCAGGGGAGGGACAGAGAGAGAGGGAGACACAGAATCTGAACCAGGCTCCAGGCCCTGAGCTGTCAGCACAGAGCCGGACTCTGTGGGGCTCAAACTCACAAACCATGAGATCATGACCTGAGCCGAAGTCGGGCGCTTAACCGACTGAGCCACCCAGGCGCCCCAAGAATGAGGTAATTCGAAGAAAAGTCAGCATGACTCTGCAGGTTTTAGGTTTTGTGTGGATCATATCCTCGTTTCGCTTTGTACAAGTAAGCATCAAAGAAGGCAGTAACCAAAGCTTATTCTCAGAAGGAGAATAACAGATATTTCCATGTACTTCCCCAGCTGCATTTTCCTTTTTCTTATTCCTTTGGGTGTATTGTCAAAATGACAGATGTGCCTACATTGTAACAAAGTGACTGCTCTTTTGGACTTTCAGAGGTGCCTTACTCAGTCTCAATCCAGGGACCCTGGGCGGTGCTCTCAGCCCGGCTCTCATGAGCAACAGTACACTGGCAACTATTCAAGGTCAGTAGAATTTTTCCCCTTACTTAGACCTTTGGGTTTGTTTGTTTGTTTGTTTGTTTGTTTGTTTTTAATGAGGGACGTTTGCTTTGCTAGAGGTAAAGGTGATGGGGAAAGGTGGTTGAATTGATCATGCTAACTTGAGGACCAAGAAAATGTCCTTGTGAAAAAAAGGACTTCTACAAGTCCTTCTACTTTCTACAAGAAGTATAGGTGTTAATTTGTAAGAACAGGAAATATGCTTAGTTTGGAATATTACAAAAAAACAAACAAAATAACAGGAATTGTTATGCTGATATTTATCTTATGTGAATAGACTTCGAGGCAGAATTTCCCCCTGATAAATTTATCTAAGTAGTCATCCAAGACCCATCCCCAGCTAAGCACCACCAAGATAAATTCCCCAGTCCCCAGCCCCACCCCCACATATGAGAGCCACATAGGAGAAGGTCCTATAAGGATTAACCTTGGAGCACATTATATAGACTTCAAGAGTACTTCTAATTGTTAGGTTCTGCCCTTTGTATATCCCCATCAGTTCAGAATGTATATTCTCTTGGATTGTCTCTTTTCCAAGCCCATTGGGTCTCTTTTGGCCTTCGCATGCTATCCAGTCTAAAATGGGTCTAAATCCATTCAGTCCGTATGTGAAGGGTTTGCCTTATTTAGCTTCTGAGCTTTATATGCTAAGATGCTATGTTACGTGACTCAGGAAAACAATTTGAGACATCACTATATAAATCAGAGAGAGAGAGAGAGAGAGAGAGAGAGTGTGTGTGTGTGTCTTAAAATGTGAATGGTTCATACTTAAATGAGAGCTCTTGGGGCCAAAAATATGCTCTTAGCCAACCTCAGTTAAGATTAGTGTTTCATGGATGGTATCTCTGCAGTATACTATAGAGAATATGAGTTACAGACAAACCTAAGACATGACTTAGATTAGATTATACTTCTGGGTTTCCTGGACCCAGTTTCAACGTGCCCCGCAACACCAAGCAAGCCTTGCAGACCAGCAGGGTATCTGAGACTTTAAACTTAACTCTGACACTGTCTACCTAGAGATAGCATCAGATTCCACAGGGTAAGGGTTCAGTCCAACAAAACCGTTCCTCCCTCCCCTTCAGACACCAGTGGTAAACCCAGGCTATTATTACCTATGCTTCTGACCAGCTACAGATTGGCGGTTCCAACAACCTTTTCCTTAGATTGATTCTGTTACTTGGCTACAGCGGCTCACAGAACTCAGGGAAACACATTTACCAGTTTGTTAAAGGATATGATAAAGTATGCAAATCAACAGCCAGATAAAGAGATACATAGGATGAGGTCCCAAACAGAGGAGTTTCTGTCCGCAGTGGAATTTGAGGTCTGGCTCAGTGGCACATAGAAGTATTCTGGTTCTCCAAGAGTGGAGGCTCTCCAGACAAGACCCAAAAGCTGTCCCCCTGGGTTTTTACGGAAGCTTCATGACACAGTCATGATTGACTAAGAAGGCATTGGCCGTTGGCTGAATCAAACTCCATGTTCCCCTCCCATCATGTGAGGTTGGGGGTGGGACTAAAAGTTCCAACCCTCAGATCACATGGTTGGTCCTAGGGGCAACCCGTCCCCGCCCTTGGGTGGCATCCAAAAGTCCCCTTCACTGATATCAAGACCCGTTTCATGGTTTTGGCTCTGAAGTGTTTTCAGGAACTGTGGATGTAGACCAGATATATCTGAGAAATACCAATTTGGTCATTCAGATGACTGAATACATATTTCTTCTAAATATATATTTCTAAATACTCTTTCTATATATATTAGAATGATTTTTTCTAATATATCATTAGAATGATTACCTTACATTATATTGACTTTCTCCTTGATGAAATCATATGTAAAATTGATGGTTAGAGCTGTAAACCTTTTGGTATACAAGGATTTCTTTTTGGCATGAGATTTGTGATAAATCACTTTTGCTCTTACATGAGGAAACCTCTGGGCTTTAGTGATGCTACAAAGGCAAATGCCTTCCCCAGGGCACAGCTGAGTATAGAACAAGTACTGTCTGGGAATATCTAGAACTCTTCTATGCCCCTGAACCTAGAATCTCAGAAAACTTAAAGCTGCACCAAATCTCACCGATCTGTGCTCTTTGTATGATCATGTCCAAGTCAGTCCCTCTAGCTTTCGTTATATATGAAATCAGCCAAAAGTTTTTAATCTAGATTTATTGGAATTTTACTTTTTCTTATTTTTTTTATTTTAGAGAGAATGTGAGCAGGGGAGAGGGACAGAGAGAGACAGAGAGAATCTTAAGCAGGCTCTGTGCCCAGCTCGGAGCCCGACGTTGGGGCTCTATCACATGACCCTGGGATCATGACCTGAGCTGAAATCAAGAGTTGGGTGCTCAACCCACTGAGCCACTCAGGTGCCCCCCCCCCACAACTGAAAAAATATTTATTAAGTAATGTCTACACCCAAAGTGGGGCTCTAACAACCCCAAGATCAAAAGTCATATGCTCTTCCGACTATGCCAACTGGGTGCCCCAGAAATAATGCCGTTAGAAACCCCCTCAAACCTACATGTGAAAATGTAGTTATATGGGTGGGAGGATATTGGAAGGGTTGCCAGATAACAGAAAAAGATACTAAATGAGAGTGCCAGTTATTTAAAAGTAAAGTTCGTTAATGCCTTCTGTGGAAGAGTAATCCGGGTGCTATAATGGAACAGCATTAAAAGAGCAATTCTCATGCGTGAAAGCAAGTCCCAACCTTAGATAACCCCCTGAGGCCACCGCGTCCATACATCTCTACTGCCCTCCTCATTCTCCTTTGTAGAAGTCCTAGGAATCAAATGTGATGCCTCAGCAAGTGAAAAATTAACTTCACCTTACACCGTATTTGGTAATATGTAATTATTTTAGAACTAAGGTCATTTTAGAAAGGTGGTTTTTATCTTGTCCATCGTACCAAAATGCTCAAATTTATCAATAATGCCAGTTAGTTTGATCAAAGCTAATTATATTTTAATGCCCCCATCACCGTAGCTAGTTTGTCTTTTGAATGGAAGAGGGTTCCAATCGGCAATCTTCATTAAAAACAAAACGACCAGATTTAAAAATACTTGCAGGAAGATGGAATAGGGTTGAGGTTCTGAGATGGCAGCGTAGCTCTGATTCATGAGACAGTTCTTAACTCTCCCCTCTCACCTGTCCTGCTTGTGCTCGTTAAATCAGTTAGAATTTCAGCCTATTTAGGTGCTTTCAAAAATCATAAGGAAACTTCGTTTGGTGACAGGATGGCAGTATGTGAAGAACACAAGTCAATTAAGGGCTGCACCGTTCCCACCTGGGCTGTAGGAAGCCTCAGCACCCTTGATGTGTTACTTGGCTTCTCTAGAATGGTTTTAACATTCTCTTTTCTGCCCGTTTGGGGGGGGTTTTGTCTGTAGCTCTCGCTTCTGGTGGCTCTCTTCCAATAACGTCACTGGATGCGACTGGGAACCTGGTATTTGCCAATGCGGGAGGAGCCCCCAACATCGTGACTGCCCCCCTGTTCCTGAACCCTCAGAACCTCTCTCTGCTCACCAGCAACCCAGTGAGCTTGGTCTCCGCCGCCGCAGCCTCCGCAGGGAACTCTGGGCCTGTAGCCAGCCTCCACGCCACCTCCGCGTCCGCCGAGTCCATCCAGAACTCTCTCTTCACGGTGGCCTCTGCCAGCGGGGCCGCCTCCACCACCACCACCGCCTCCAAGGCACAGTGAGCGGGGCCGCGCGGGGCCTGCCACCAGCCTTTGCCACCTGCCGCGCGAGTGGCCTGCCAGCCAGGCTGAGACTGAACAATGTGATTGGCTTCCTCTTGCCATGTTTCAACAGCAAGCAAGGGAGAGAAGGGAGAAAAGGAGAAAAACGCCTACCAGAGGAAAAAAAAAAAAAAAGGATGGAGACAGGACAACATTTGCCTAATTTTGTAATAAAACACTGTCTTTTCAGGATTGCTTCATGGATTGGAGAACTTTCTAACCAAAAATTAAAAAAAAAAAAAAAACCAAAAAAAAAAAAAAAAAAAAAAAAACATAAGTGAAAGGACTACTTATCATTTCCAGCAGTAATGATGACAAGTTAAGGTGGGTTACCAATTCCGTTTATGAAAGGGTTTTTTTTTTTTTCTAAATTTCTTTTTTTTTTTAAAAAAAAAAAAAAAATCATTTTTATGGGTCTGTTGTACAGGCCAGTAAGTCATAACAAGGTGTTTATAATCGTATCCATTGTGTTGGGGGTTCCTTTCTTAACTGGTACAATTTAGGCAGGCCTGTATTACTGTATCTCTATTATTATTGTTGTTGTTGTTATTGTTTTTTATATATATATATAGTTTGGACATGTTTATCTCTTGCTCCTGGATCCTACTTCAGTGAGCTCCCACACTGTGGGGAGGGAGGGTTTGGGGGTAAGGGGAGACTTACGTTCTTAACTGCGGGGAATGTTCTTGCTGGTTTCCTTATCCTTGATGACTCTTACAGAGGTGCTAGAAAATTATTTTCTTTTGCCACTTATGCAAGAGGCTTGGTGCAGAAGCTGATGGCAGTGTGTGCAAACACTCCCGCTCCACACACGCCCCCTCCCCCATCAGGTGGTGCCTTCGGAGCACTTTTGTGTAGGAAGCAATTCCTGCTGAACTGTAGCTCTCACTCACCCCGGATCATTGAATGACCCTGAGGCCCAGATCCTGCGGTGCACCGGGGCGGCGTCTGCCGTCCGTGGAGACGGCCGCGTGTGTCGCAGGGCAGGATCTGGTTCCGAAGAGCAAAGACTACTGCAGACACCTGACTTGGTGGTTCTCCTGATTCCCTGTCTCCTGAGAAATGCTCCTACTGTTGGTGTGTTTGTTTGTTTGTTTCCATTTTGTGAACGTTTTTCATTCAAACTTCCTTTCATTTACTTGGCAAAGAGCGAATTGACTTCTTGAAATCGGGAAGCTCCTCCCTTCTGTTGTGTTCTGAAGGAACTCCCCTAGACTGTTGCCATCGGGTCTGTATCCCCCAAAGAGGTGTGATGGGAAGGGTCTGAGGCTCCCACCTTTTCCGGTGGCCGCAGACTTCCTTTTCACTGGACGACGTGTAAATTCCTCTAACCTTAAGACTCTCCTTGCTTCCCTGACTGGAGAATGCACTTCCTAGCTGGGCACGGGGTCTTAGAACCTTTGAAGGACTTTGAGCAGGAACTTTGCACACACCTCAAGTGTCTCCTTGGTTTATGAGTGACGCTCCAGCTCGGTAGGTCAGAACGGCGATACACGTCTCGCTATACGCTGTAGAAAGTGATTAGCTTCCGGAATTGTTTCTAGACGATGTAAATGAGCCCGTCGAAAGGAAGAGTTTATGGAAGTAGATGAAGAGGAATGAGGGTAACTTGGAAATTCCATTCCCCTTTGTGTCAGCGTACTATTATGATGTTTTGTCTGTACCAAAACATTTCCCGGACGACTGGATCACTGCGATGCGGCTCGTCTGAGCCCCCCCGCCCCTTATTGGAGATCAGGTTCCCGTTTGGTATCTGTGGCTGCCTGCTTTTATCTCCAGTGGCCCAAGACTGCACTTTCCCCCCTTTCGAGCTAGGGTCTGAGAGAGAGTGGACAGGTCGTTTTCGTTCTGATTGCTCTGCTTATATCCCCAAGAGAGCTTGGAGTCTGTGTGTGTGTCTCTTCACGGTGTTGGGAAAGGCAGTGATACAGATACAGCGTGTATTTTTGTGTGTGATCGTCCAAGTGGGAGACAGGCACCTTAATATTAAATGGCCAGAAACGGATTTAGTCCCTTTGTTAATTTTTCTTTTGTTGCTTCTGTCTTCCCGTTTTATTTCACGGAGTATTTAATTATCAACCTAAATTTCCTCTTCTCACCGTTCACCTTCCCTAAAATCCCTCCAAAATCAGTGAACTGCAAGCAGGGAAACTAACAAATAATGTCCATCCACCTTTTTTTTAATGTGTGGTGTGTTTTTTTTTATGTTGTCGTTTTTTTGTTTGTTTGTTTTCTTTTTTTAACTAAGCTTGAACCAAAGTCAATTTTTAGCAAGCTGCTGTACTAATGGACTAGTTTATAACGTGCATTTCAGACACATTGAGGAGATAGATGCTACTGACAATTTCTTTTTTCATTTGTCTTTATTTTATATAAAAGTTGCTGCTTGTTTTAATCTTTTATGTTGGTTAATTGTAATATCCTCTGGGCAGACATTAACTTGATTTTAACTAGTGTATTTAGTTCGGTGTGTAAATAGAATGGCAGTGTCGGTTACTAATTTTTCTCCTCTCCATCTTCTCTGATGTTGTTCAGTTTCATCTTGTATCCCAACTTGACATCTCTAACTTTAGTCTGTGCAAATGGTTTTAGGGCTGTCACTAATGGTAGCTGCCCATTATAATGAGTCCCTCCCCTGGGAGTGGTAAGTTAGGAGGAAGGATTCAGGGAGGGAAATGCTGATACCCACCGTCCCAGATTAGAGGTTATAGCATTAATTTCCCAAAACTGCTGCCAAAGGAAGTGTGGAGTCCTAAGAGACTCAAACCCAGTGGATTAAAAGGAAGGGCAAAGAAAGGCTGTGCTTGTGTGTGTGTTTTCCTGTGTGGTTCAAAAGATGCTCCCGCTCCTAAACAAGGTTCACCAACGGACTTTAATGTTTTAAAGATACTAAGCTTTAAATGTCAGGACGATGGGCTTCTATTCTCTGCCCTGTGTTCTCTAGTCAGCCTGGGATAAGGGGATTCTGCCTTTTCGCGTGTGTGTGGATCACTTCATGAGGATAAACCTTAAACCAGCATAAAAATCCGTGCTTAAAAGAAAGAAATCCTTAGACAGAGGTAACATTTAAAAATTTTCTCGTTCTTTTCTTATTTAAAGACAAGTTGTAAAACGAAAGGTACATTTGTACATGTACACAGGAAACACTAAAACAGTTTGTTGATAGGTATTTAGCTTAAAATCACTCCCCACCACCATCCCTAGACATTTTGCTGATCATACGGCTTCATGACTCAACCTTGAGTCCTTTTTGACTTTATATTATAGTTATCATCTCAAGAAATGCTTTTTGAATTGAGTGAATCTCCTAAGCTAAGGTACTCAGACTTGACTTTGAACCACCTTATATGGGAAAGTCTGGAAATTAAGGGGGCCATTGGACCAAAAAGAGGTGTTTGGTAGTTTCTGCATTTCTAAGCGGTTGGGCCGGATGGGTCATCAGAACTCATTGTCCATTCTTCTTCTCCCCGCGGGGCGCCCGCCTCCATGTTTATGCAGATTTTATTTCCTCCCTGAATTTGGTGAATACATACTAAACCAAAGACTAATTCTGAATGCATTTATAGTGATACTATATTTCTGTATTTGCCCATGGTAATGGGCCCTCCCCAGGGAGTGGTGAATGTAATTGAATCCTGCTTATCACAAGCAGTGCAATTTGGTCATGAACTTTATTTATACCCTGTGTGAATCTGAAGGACAGAGCAGAAAGACCTAGAAAAGGGCTTCTTATTGGAACAATATTATTGTTCCTGATTTAAGAAATAAGTTGAGTGCTATATATTAGTTTCAATGTTTCTGAATTATATAAGCAGCTTTTTAGAATTAAAAAAAATGTTCACCTCTATTACCTGACACAATACACGCTTCCTTTTATTTATCTGATAAGAAAGACCAATACCATCCCAATTCACTCAACTTATTACTCAAGCAACGGAACCAAAGGAATCCAACTTTCATTTTGTGTAGGACCATACCTATTTGTACTTCATGGTAGCATTATTAGAAGTTAACGATCCTTTTTTTTTTTTTTTTAAGGGAAAATAAGGTAAATTAAAAGACTTTTTGTGAGATGCTCATGCTGTTTTGTTCTACATAATTCATTCATTGTTGGGGGGGAAAAAAAAGCACAATTATACCTCTTTTTTATGTTATTTTGCCCTGTTATCCCTCATGTATTTGGGAAGATGGGGGAATCTTGTCTGTATTATCCAGAAGCACAGATATTTTCTTGACACAAGATTTAAGGTCAGCCCAATCTTTAACATTAAATTTTCTCTTTAAATTGCTGGGAAGGCTGGATACATTTGCATATATAGGAAATCATATTTGTAGATATTTGAAGCTCCAAACCCTGATAGTAAACATTGCAGTCAGTGTATATAATAAACGTACAGAAGAAACTCTTTGTAGTTCATAGTCTACAGTTGTTCCCAACCCATGTCATCCTCCCCAAACTTTCTTCACCGAGAAAAAAGTAAACCCGTTGAGATAGGAAGAAAAGGGAGAAGTGCCAGCCGGGAGACGTCCGCGTGCACCGAGCCCCAGGGCTGGTGGGTAGCGCTGGTGGGGAGCTGGTGGGGAGCTGGTGGGGAGTGGCGCCTCCCCAGACCTCCTGCTGGCAGTATCCGCCGGGTCCCCTACGGGCACCCCAGAGGCCAGTCTACGGTTTGATAACCTTCAGTCGAAGAAGAGCCTCAACAATTCATGATGAGGTGTTGGCCAAATTCTTTTCCATCGATTCAGCATCTAAAATTGATGAATTTAAAGTTTATTCTCCAAACCATGTGTATTGCAGCTGAAAATATTAAAAGACCGTCCATGCTACCAAGAAAATGGCTCTCAAGACCTGAAATTTAAAGTTATTCAAATGGGCAACAGTTGATGGATTCATTTGATCATAACCATTGATGAGTTCATTTTGTATATGCGTATAAAAAGCATTTAATGTGTGACACTGTTCATCTAATCATAGCCCTGGCCATTTTGAAGTCATTTTCAGTCTTAAAACATTTTGAAGGTGACACTTTAAGATGGTAAATCTTTCTTGGCATTTACCTTCATTTTTGAGAAGGAAAAAGAATCTTTGCCATTCTTTTAAGAAAAATAACTAAGATCCGCTATTAGGCAGGTTGGCATAATGGCGCACACAGTACAAATAAATGTGAGCTTGAACAGGAGTAGGATAAATAAACCGCTTTTATCATTAAAAGCTGATACCAGCCCTGTTCTGCCTCACTCTGTCGTTAATCCAAAGAGATTAAATGGGACACCCCGGAGATTTCCAGTAAGATAATTGGAGAGGATTTCATCAGGAAGGCAGAGAATGTGGTGTTTCTCAGATTTGTCCAGTTTATACCCAGATTTCCATATGGTTTGTGAGCTGTTGCTTTCTTCTAATTGTCCTCATTCGTGAAGCACTTAGGCCCTTGTTTTGGCTCTTCTTCTCTCCGCCTTTTCTAATAGCAGTAATTGAGTGAATCCTACTTTGATTCTGTGATCTGGAGCGCCTTTCAGCCCCCTCCTCCTCTTCCTTTTCTTTTTGAATGGTGATACCTTAATCTGTGAGGGTAACGCTGGTGGGTAACAGCTAGCTTCTGGCACCTTCATAAAATACCTCAGCGTAGCTTAGCATTGTTACAGACCTGGTTTTAATCTAAAAACCAAAAAAAGAAAAAAGAAAAAAACCTTTATAAATAGTGGAAATAATTCTAGCTGTAGCATTTAGTTGAACTGATGTTTATTACGGTTGATAAACATGATTGATGCTGTATGTATTTGGGATCCTGTTTATAGGTTACAATTTATAGGGTTAGGGAGGGTTGGGTGGGGAGAGGAGAAATTGATTATGTTAGAAGGAAAATGTTGCTCATGTGTGTTTGTGTTTCCTCGTATCTGTCTTGCCAAAGGAAACTTGATTATCTCTGCAGTGGGTTTGGGATTCGTCGGCCTCTCCGTGGTTTGACCTGCACTGCAGCGTGTGGGTTACACATGGGCGGTGCTTTAGCTTCAGGGTCCCCTAAGGCATGTGTGCCCCTTCCTGTGGCCACCCTTGCCCCCAGACCCTGCCAGTCCCTCCTAAGCATTCATTACCTCTCTGTGTGGCAAGAGCTTGGGCGAAGGACGCGTGTGTGGACATCCATCTGGGTGTGTGGTTGAGAAACGGAGGCCGAAGCAGGCATGCGCCGTCTCATTCGGAAAGGAAAGACAAGTGCTGCATCCTCAACTAGGAAAACTAAAGCGGAACAGGTTCTTTTTGTCGCCCTCTGTCATGTTGGCAACATTGCAAAGCCCTCCTTCCTTTTCTCATGCCAAGGCTAATTCCGTCTAGACCAAAAATGCGAACAGAAGTAAAACCGACCCGAGCAGTTGAAAGCCAGCCTGCTTGCCTCACGCGTGTGATAAGGCGTGACCTCTGGGGACTGGCAGGTTGGTGAGACTGAGGAGAGCGGTGTTCCTGGTGGGAATGTGGGTGAGAAATGCCGGCTTGGGAAATGCCAAAGCACCCTTTCTGCCCGTACTCTGGGACAGACTGCCGTGGCTCTCCACGTTCGGGTATGGACTCTGCCTCCAGAAAGGTTATTTTTAAATAAACCATCCGTCTCACCGAACCCGAGTGGGATTTGGTTTAGGTACCAAAGACACTGCTATGTCATTGTTGAGTCTTCTTACGTTTTCAAAACAGGCAGAGAGAATAGGAGTGAAAGGCTGAGATTTGGAAAGGCTGTACCTATGTCTCTTTCCTTTTCCTCTCCCCTCTTTTCTCTCCTCCCTTACCCACATTTCGAAGGAAGTCTTGGTTGTCCTGGCTTCGGAAAAGAGATGAATTTTGTTTCGCTCTGCTGGCTCTGTAAAGACGGGTAGAGTTGCTCAGTGTAGCAGTGATGTTCTTAGAATTGCTGGCAAATCGGGGGGCGGGGGGGGCGTAAAATATGGGGGTAGAGGGTTTTTTTTTTTTCTTTATTTCCCTTTATCTAACACTTATAAATAGAACCAGTACAGCCTGTTTGAGTTCAGATGATCCCTAGATGTGCTATCTCTGTTCTGTCACTTAAAAAGGATAAGCATTTTCAAGAGCAGGATTACATGGAAAACCAAAACTCCTTTATCCTCCCAGGGAGCTGTATTGTTCCAGAACGGTTTTATACATGGGTTCTAGGGAGTTGAGAAGTTCATTGTCTTGGTGTATTATTGATGGGACGGACACAGAAAGGGAGAGAGGGAAAAGACATTTATTACTCTCTTAATATTCCGTCAAAAATTGATCAGGTTGCAGAACTTCATGAAAGCTTTATTAATAATCTGTTCTGACATTATATAAAAGTGGTATTAATATTGTGTGACCTTTCAAAGCGCTAGATAGGTTTGTAAGTAGGTGATAGGGATATTGAAGATAAGAGCACTTGAAGCAGAAGTTACGGGAAACAAGGTGTGCGTGATGGAACACCACTTTGAGCACGGGTCGCGGAGGGCAGGCGCGGTGTCTGGTTCTTTCTGTGTCGCTGCATCTGCCCCCTCTCGGCCCGGGGCTCCAGCCCCCCCCCCTCCCCCGGCACCACCTTCTAGTTCAGACCCAGGACACTGTCAAAAAGGTCAGACCCCGAAAGTTAATTTACTGTAAAAAAAAAACATTGAGGTCTGCTGCAAAGTTCCCCCGCGTTTTCTTTGTTTACTTGCTCATCCTTGTTTTAAGTCAGCCCCAACCTTACAAAAGCAGCTTTTAAGGCTTCTTTCATAACCTGGCAGCAGCATTGAGTTCTCTAACGTTATATCCCAAAGTCTGCAGGCAGACAGCCGGATACAGTGCCGTGTGAAAGATGAGACCTCCAAACACTTCTTTAAAATTAGAATCTCCTTCGAATGAAACCGTGAAAAAGGACAGAGCCCCGTGGAGGGAAGGCCGTGCCCCCCCCCCCCACCCCCGGCCCCCGGCCCCCGGCCCCCTCCCGCCGTCCGTGAGTCTGACAACGCAGCAGGAAAGGAGATGCACTTTCAGAGGCTGAAACGGAGGGGGTTCTGTCAGGAAAGGCCCTAGCTGTAGGCGTGTGGGGATGCCACGTCTGTGGCGCTCGCCCTGCCCAGGTCTGCAGAAGGCACGGAACTTTTCTAAGAATCGAGTGGACCGATGCCAGCCCGGGTGTGTTTAAAACTGCAAATGTTGGGGGCGGGCGGTGGCGGGGGGGGGGGGGGGAGAACTTTTCGGGGGGGGCCCCCCGTTGGGGGCGCCGCGGCGGCGGGGGGGGGGGGCCCCCCCCCCCCCCCCCCCCGGAGACGGAGGGAGAGGCAGACGGACTTCTCCCGAGGCTTCTCCCGTCCGCCTGGGCGCATTACTCAGTCCCGGGAGGGAGGCCTCCCGCGTTAGCCGCGTCAGACTCGAGTTCCTCCCTCTATGGTAATAGCAAAGGCTGGGTGAGTAAGGGTGGCGCTTCCGCCCACCCCAAGTCCAGGACTGTCGTATACCTCATTTCTAACTCGTGATTGAGTAACTTGCTGTAGCTTTCTCAACCCTCCAGAGTTGCCAAGTCCGCCCCCCCTCCTCTAAGTAACGTTGAACTCTGGCCTATAGCACCACAGGACCTGCAGCCTAGGGTGGGACCTCCTAAAGCCTCTGAATGTCGCTGCTGAAAAGCTACTGCAAACCGAGGGCAAATTGCAATCTTCTGTTTCTTTTCGTTGCAAGGGGGTCTTCGCAGGTCTCTCAACATCCGCTCGCCCTGCCACCCTGTCTCCGGGGGCTGGCCAGCTCTCCCCGCCCCCGCCTGCTGGGGTGGGAGCGTCCTGTCCCCCTCTGCGGCCTCAGGGTTCTGCTCATTTTCAGGACTTTGGGTGGAAGGGAAAAAGACACCAAAGGCTCCTTTAAGCTGACTGCTGCATACACATTTCACTTTTTTTCCTTTGTCATGACCAAAAAAATAATAATAATAAATCCAAATATTTAAGTTTTTATTATTATTAATATTATTATTATTTGACAATCTTGTATCCGACGGGCTCTTTAGAAGCTGCATCCCCAGCCCTTTCACCTTTTCTTTGAATGTAGTTCCCAGCCTTCAATTCCCACCCCCAGTGTTGAAAGAAAGCTTTGCCAGGTCTTACTACTGCTGCTATAAGCCAGGGG